CTTGTTGAGTTTATGAACTTAGTTACTTAACACCAGTGGCTATACAGATAGAAAGACTAAGCCTTGCAGAGGCATGAAAATACATTTTCAAAATGCTCAACAGTGCTGCCAAAATTATAAACTGACTGCTACACAATTCAAATAAATGCTTTTATATATTTCTATTAGATGTAGCGTTTCTGTTGTTATTACCACTGCTGCTTTTAGTTGTTCTGACTGCTAAAATCATCTGTTATTCCTCATTTTAAAACCGATATTCCGTGGGGTCGGGGGGCTCGGATCCTTGTCACCTTTTTTCTTTCATACCTGATATCCCGACATACCCTGACAAGACTAGGTACATTACAGGAGTGTTAAAACACCCAAACATGCACACGTATCTTATTTTAGTAGAGATGAGAGGGCAAGGTCTAATGTTGTGACCGAAATGATCAAGTCAAAGCTTCAGTATTTTATCTTATGTAGCACATTTAATTCAATAATTAATCTTGAATTACTAATAACTCTAAAGAAGGCAAAAAGTGAATAAGGCAACTCCTCATCCAAAGTGTGTGTGTGTGTGAGCAGCTTCTCTGCTCAAGGTTTAAAACCAGTGGTGCGAATGTTTATGAGAAACAATTATAGCTTAGACTGAACTCGAAGGAAACTAGACTAAAACATTTTTTAGAAATCAAAACAGCTGGGTGAATACTCTCTTTATGGTATTTAAATTGGGCCCATTAGAACCCCTTCATGGATTTGTGATACTGATCTCTGTCTGTTCAGATTTGGAAGTCTCATGATTTATTGTGTGGGCCTGTGAAGGAGAGGCCCAGGGAAAACAACATCTATCCTGGAACTGCAATTACTTATCTCAAAGAGATTGCAACATTATACTCCTTTAAAAATTGCTCAATTCATTTAAACACATTTATTATGTACACAATAAAACCTCAACAAATATATTGATCCTGGCTTAACCAGCGACCTTTACTCTATTGTTCATAAGCTCAGTAGTTTAACAACTATTAGAATCGTAGTAATGTCTGTAGACCAATTGTACTAGAAATAATTTGAAACAGTTTAATAAAGAATGTTAAACTATATTTAAAACTGTAATTGAACTTCAACTTATACCAATTGTCCTATTCCAGTGGCCAGTTGGAACAGACAATCAACAAAGTTTTCATTTTGCAGCAACAGCACAAAAGGTTTCAATCACCATTATGTCTGAGTCTAGTTCTGTCTTATCTGCTTTGTTTCGGAATGTGTTCAATACATTACGTTTTTTTTAATTCATTAATACCATACAATACATAGATTTAAGAATAAATGACACAAATAATACAACATTGACCTATTTTGAGCAGACAGATTTTTTTGTTTATTTTCCCTTTTCCGCACATTTTCCGCACATTTATATTACAATGTATAATTTTGCTCTACAACATTTGTTTATTTTTTTTCTCAAGTCATTTACTTTTGGTGAGATAACTAAAGTTTAGTTCATTTTACCCTGGCTATGGACTGATTCAGTATTAGTTGTTACAAAACATACACAAGACGGCGGGTAGACAAACCAATATAGAAACAATTAGACAAACAAACATGTACTCGCAAAAAAATCAGCCCGATAGCCAAAGTTCATCCAATTTAATTTAATCCGAATTAGGGAGATCTCAGCGGGGGTAGGGAAATATCTGTTTAATATGAGCGCCTTCTTACTTGTACAAGTGCTAAGAACGGAATCTGTTGAAGAACAATAACTAATTTATTCTCAATCAAACAACCACCATGTCAATTTAGTAGTGCTCCGCTCCCTCCGTATCCGGAGAGCGGAGGCTTTTTTATTTACCCTGTCTTCTAACAACAGCCAAATTTAACAACTCATCAGTTATGAAACACAGCGTTGTGTCATATTCCCGCATACCACCCTTCCCATTAATAACCGTTCTGTTTAGTTCCAAAACCATAATGGTGTGAGTAAAAGAATATGACACTGCTTTATTTCTCCTCGCCTGCCGCTCTCCGCAGGGGGGCGGAGGGAAATCTACACACACTCCCCTGCAGCAACAGGCAGAATTCGAGGCGAGTTGATTTAACCAGTTTGACCGCTGAAATCTCCAGAATTCGGCGATTTGTTTCAATACAAATCTTTACATTGCTTTTGAACAGAAGGTCCATCCATCCATCCATCTTCTCCCGCTTATCCGTGGTCGGGTCGCGGGGGTAGCAGTTCCAGCAGAGAGCCCCAAACTTTCTTTTCCCTGGCGACATCAACCAGCTCTGACTGGGGGATCCCAAGGCGCTCCCAGGCCAGCGAAGAGATATAATCCCTCCACCTGGTCCTAGGTCTACCCCTTGGTCTCTTCCCAGCTGGACGTGCCTGGAACACCTCCCTAGGGAGGCGCCCAGGTGGCATCCTAACTAGGTGCCCGAACCACCTCAACTGGCTCCTTTCGACGCGAAGGAGGAGCGGCTCAACTCCGAGTCCCTCCCTGATGACCGAACTTCTCACCTTATCCCTAAGGGAGACACCAGCCACCCTGCGGAGAAAACCCATCTCGGCCGCTTGTATCCGCGATCTCGTTCTTTCGGTCATGACCCATCCTTCACTTGCCCCCAGTAGCAATCACAGGGAAAATCGGCCAGGACAGAATCCCCATTTGACACCGATTCCCCAGGTTATCATTATTCCTCCAAATGTAAAGAGTAGAGAAACCAAAAAAAATGCATCCGCTCAGTGTCACAGGTAATTTATGATACCGTCAATCACAGAGTCTGGTAAGGCAATGTCCAAATATAGATTTGAAATTACACTTACCAGCTCTGAAGATCTTTTGGTATCCTGTCGTGACGCAAATTTGTGAGGAAAACTTCTGTTATCAATGCTGAGCCAATGCTCGTGAAAGGAATGGAAGCTGGATTCGCCTTAGTCCAACACTGACATTTATTGAGAGTATAATATGGCCGGAGAATTCACAAGGTATATTCACAACTTCTTTATGAGACACCAAGCAAACTCTGGAGACAAAGGAGACAGGAACACATCTATACATTAGAAGAGGAGGGGCCTATATTCCCGCCTTTCCTCTAATCAATACCAGGCATCGGAAAACAAAGCACCTCTGTTTTGCAACTTCTCATGTGCCCAAACCCCTCCCCCACAGGAAAGGCAAAAGACCTCTTGACCTGTGTCTTCCTGAGAAGTTACACAGGAACATGCAAGAAAGACTGAGAATCTCTAAATACACAGATCGGATTAAAATATTATCTTACAAGGATAATATTGGACTATAAATGAATAATATTACACCAAATAAATAAGTAAACACATATATATATTCATTCACTGGCCATTCATTTAGAAAATGTAACTCCAAAAAGACAAGTAACACTATTTAGCATTTTGGCTAATCATTCCTGTTGGCTAAGCTAACACTGTGATGCAGTTCCACCAAACACAAAAGTAATATATAAAAAGGATAATATTGGACTATAAATGAATAATATTACACCAAATAAATAAGTAAACACATGTATATATTCATTCACTGGCCATTCATTTAGAAAATGTAACTCCAAAAAGACAAGTAACACTATTTAACATTTTTCCTAATCATTCCTGTAGCTTCTTGGCTAAGCTAGCACTGTGACGCAGTTCCACCAAACACATAAGTAATATATAAAAACAGAGATATTACATACCTTTCCCATGGTGGAAGTTCAACATCCGAGTCACTACTGTCCGGATCCAGGTCTGGCTGGAGGAGATCTTCATCATCCGACGAAGAGTCATCTGGTATGATCATAGCCCCGCTATCGTCAGCTAGCATATCTAGCACCTGCTCGGTGGTGAAGCTCGCCCTTCTGGCTGCCATTATTTGCTAAAATGGAAAGGGGATACACAAGAAAAATATCTAAAAGCAAAGAAATCAACGTCCTTGAAATGTGCTCTGTTACCTGTTACCTGCTATCGTCGCTGCGTGCTGTGGTGCTGTCCTGCTGTGGTAATGCTAATGGAGCGGGCGTATTTTATACTACGCAGGATCATATCTTTGGAACCCATTGGTCGATTTGGGTGATTGACACCTTTTCTGAACCGTTAGAGCCAATAGAATCGAGTGACAGTTAGTAAGTCCCGCTAAACACTTACGTCAAGTAGAGAGAGGTTTGTGTAAACAGCACGTGAGACAGCATTAGCTCGGGACTGCGAAACGTTATACCTACTCTGCTGCCATGAATGTAATGATAGATTATCAGGAACAATTGACTAAGAGACATTGGATTAACCTTAAGCAGCGTTTGTATACCCTTTAACACGATCTTTGATTACAAAACAGCAACGGTAAGACATAATTATTGTTATGGTTTTGAAAACTGTTTTTTTTTTTCTTCTCTGTTCTGGCTGCTAGCTCAGTGAGTTTGTGTCCTACAGTGATGATACTTATAACAAAAATAATCTGTGGAGTATCAGCTTTCAGATGATATGTAGTTTGTGCAGAAAATATTAAGTTTTAAAGATCGTTTTTGCTAGTTAGCACCGGATGTAGCATATGCCCGTTTTAGCTAAGGGCTAATGCTAACGCTTCTTGTGAGACTTGTGTTTTGTTTCGGTAAAAATGGTTCGTATCGTCAGTTAGCTGAGATTCTTCTCGTTAATCTGGTATAACACATTAATAGGTTTTTAAATATTAAGATGCCCTGAGACACAGTGTCGTGAGAAAAAAAAACAGGGTCCCCGCCGGCGGGGACCTTCAGGCTTAACAGGTTAAGAAGTACAATACAAGACAAGCACAGGTTTCATTTTTGGGCCATACTCCATTATACTTTGTGAATTTGCTGAGGGCTGACTCAAAATGACCCACCGTAGTTTGGACACCCCTGCCTTAAACTAAGAAACATGTTTAAGTTATTTTATATTCCAAGAAGATTACATTTTTAATTAAATGGTGAGACATTGTGTATCATCAGGATATCTCTTACTACAACTTTACCATCCCACATTAATATCATTTCAGAATGCAGTTTCCTCTACCTGATGCTGAACGGTGTTTGTAAAGCAAGTTGTCCCATGGGCTATTATGAGGACATGGAGGAGGGCTACTGCGGTCAGTGCCACCTGACCTGTGACAGCTGTTCAGGGCCCCTGGCAGACAACTGTGAGACCTGCTCCACCTTTAGCCCAAAGCTATATAAGGGTGCATGCTCCAAAGACTGCCCCCCTGGTACTTACTATGACACAGAAGCTATGGAGTGTCAAGGTGAGCCTCTCAATATATTGATGAGATTATTGAGCAGTTTTGAATAATCAGGGTATTTTTATCTGCCATTGGATTGTTAAATTATTAACTTGCACTCTGGCTATGTCAAGGGGAATTTCCCCAATACAATCATAAACCATATCTGAAGTGATAAATATGAAAGCATGAGAGCACAATGATATTTTGCCAGCCAGTTCTATTTCATCCTTACTGACCGCCAGAGGCGGTGCTTTAGCACTGGATATCTTCTGTCTCGCGCATGCGTAAATCGAATATGTATATCAACAAAGTCACGTGTGACCTCGTATGACCCCGGAAGGCATAAGTTCCGGTGTTGTCAACGAGTTCAGTTCTTTTTCATCTTCTCGCTGGGCAGGTTACTACTTTTTGAGTAGAAGCCAAGCAAGGTTATTGAAAATTAAGATTCTAGCTCATCGCTACCTGTAGCCTTGTGATCGTCTCGATCGGAGCTGCGGGCTCCGATCGCCCTCCAAAGGCTGCGACGAGCTGTCCGCCCTCCCAAGGGAGGGGACCGCGGTGTTCACCGCTCGGACCCCAGGAGCTCCGGACCGGTAAAGAGCGGACGCTCCTGCACGTCAGCCGGTGAAATCGCTACCATTTATCGCTGATTGTGCTATCTATTCTCAAGCTAATGAGATAACTGTGTACAAGTTAACCGAGGGCTCTCGCTAATTTGTTACTGCACTAGTGAAGGGAGCGTCTCCGCCCCCCTCTCACTACATACATTTGGTTCCTTGCCTGTTCTATCGTCCAGTTAGATGAGTGTTCTCGCTCAAGCTAACTGTTACGGTGCTAGTGAAGAGAGTGTCTTCGCTCCCCTCTCACAGCTCACAATTAGTTCCTGTTCTATCCCCAGTTAGCCGAGTGCTCTCGCTCAAAGCTAACTTGCTACAACGCTAGTGAGGAGAGTGTCTTCGCTCCCCTCTCACGGCGCACAATTGGTTATTTTATTTAATCGTTTATTTGACAGGGACATGCACTGTAATGAACACTTAAAACATTTAAATGTGTCAAGCGTAACAGTGCCAGAGTTAGCTTCTTTCCATTCCCTCACATAAAACATTTAAGGAAATTACATTTTACAAACATGGTAAAAAACAAAATACATGATATGCAAAGAGTGGCAACGACATATAAAGTGCATCCATCCTCCAGTTAACTGAGTGCTCTCGCTCAAAGTTAACTTGCTACAGCGCTAGTGAAGAGAGTGTTTCTGCTCCCCTCTCCCTGCACACAGTTTGTTCCTGTTCCATCCTCCAGTTAACTGAGTGCTCTGGCTCAAAGTTAACTTGCTACAGCGCTAGTGAAGAGAGTGTTTCCGCTCCCCTCTCACTGCACACAGTTGGTTTAATGCCCGTTCCATCCTTCAGTTAGCAGAGTGCTCTTGCGCTAGTGGAGAGAGTATTCCCGCTCTCCTCTCACGGCATAAAACCATGGCCCTAGGTCTAACGGCTCTAACACCTGTATGGCTCCTCTTTAACCAGAGAATGGCCATGACCTTTGCCCCTCTTGTCTTGGCCTCGAGCATCTGAGGGAGGGCCTTTCGGAGGACCCGTGCATGAATTGCACCATCATGCCTCGTGCGGTAGGAGCTGCTAGACTAGCCGAAGTTGAACTACTGACTGAGGGTGGCCTCAGTGGGGAGTTGTTCGGTTCAGCTGCCGTACAGGTGCTCGAACGGACTGTCCAAGCTAGTCTGTCCAAGCTAGTCAGACCAGGCAACAGTTCTCAGCTCTTCGCAGAGACATGCCCTCCCCCGGTAGGCCTAGAGGTTCCGCGTCTGCCTCCCGAGGCCGCTCCCATCCACCGGCTCACCCCGGTGCCCGCCATGGGCCTTAGCGCCCAACGAGGGGGCCGGCCCGCTACGGTCCTGTTAACTCACCCCAAAGGCAGCCTCGGTATCCGGTGCCTAACCGTCGCCCCCCCAGAGCCAGAGGCCGGGGGGGCAAGGTACTGAGGATCTGGGGCCGGCTGTTGGTTATTTCTCCCAGCAGCAGCTCAACTACTGGGTAGCTCAAGCTTCAGACCCTTGGGTGGTTTCCACCTTAACCCAAGGGTACAAGCTTCAGTTCCGACGCTGGCCCCTACTCTTCAGCCGGGTCAAGATGACCACCATAAGCGACCCGGCAAAAGAAATTGCCCTAAACCAGGAGCTGTCAGTCCTCCTTGCCAAGGGTGCAATCAAGCCTGTGGACCCCATCTCACAGCCCCCGGCTTCTACTCGACCTACTTCCTGGTAAGGAAGAAAGGCAGTGGACTTCGCCCAAGAAAGGCGGTGGACTTCGCCCAATCCTCGATCTGAGGGGACTCAACAAGTTCCTAAAGATTTTACCTTTCCATGTGCTGAGCACAGCGGACGTTCTTCGTACCGTGGCCAGGGGGGAATGGTTCACGTCCGTCGACTTGAAGAACGCTTATTTTCATGTGCCTATTGTGCCTCATCACAGGCAGTTTCTTCGCTTTGCTTTCAGAGGCCGTCATTTCCAGTTCAGGGTGCTCCCATTCGGAGTCTCCCTCTCCTTAGATGACTGGTTAATCTGTGCACCATCCCGGTTACAGACGATCCAGGACACGGCTCTTCTTCTCTCTCATGTCGCCCGGCTAGGCCTCAGGGTGAACATGGAGAAGAGTTGTCTGAACCCCTCTCACAGCCTAACCTTCATTGGGGTGGCTCTGGACACAGTCACTCAACCAGCGAAAGCAGTGTTCTCGCCCCCACTCCTGGTAGACGTGATGCTTTATTCTAGCAGCAGCCGACTGGATAGGCTGTCCTGCTGAAACTTCTTCTTTTTTTTTCCAGCTAGGTGAAGGCAGTGCTCTCGCTCCTGCTCCCTCTGCTGGTAACATGGGTGTAGTTACATCCCTTTTGTGTTTGGCGAGTAGGAGCGTTGCTCTACTCTTTCCGTTCAGCAGGTAGCTGGTGAAGGCTGTGTTCTCGCACCCCGCTCCCGCCTACGCTGCATCTGGCATTCGTTATTAACTCAACCAGTGAGGGCGGTGTTCTCGCCCCCGCTCCTGGTAGACGCGCTGCTTCATTCTAGCAGCAGCTGCCTGGCTAAACTGCCCTGTTAAATGTCATTATCTAATCCACCTAGGTGAAGGCAGTGCTCTCGCTCCCGCTCTCTCTGCTGGTAACGTGGGTGTAGGACATTTACATCCCTCTCTGTGTTCGGCAAGTAGGAGCATTGCTCTACTCTTTACGTTCAGCAGGTTTATGGAGTGGAGGCTGTGTTCTTGCACCCGCTCCCGGTTACGCTGCATCTGGAATTCGTTATCAACTCAACCAGTGAAGGCAGTGTTCTCGCCCCCGCTCCTGGTAGGCGTGTTGCTTGACTCTAGCAGGAGCCGCCTGGCTAGGCTGTCCTGTTAAACTTCCTTGTTTAACCCAGCTAGGTGCGGGCCTGTCCATCTGCTGCACAGACTCTGCTGTGGGACGCCTTGGCGTCTCCCCAACAGGAAGGACCTCTTGTTTCAGTTGGAGGGTCGGATGTGGCACCCCGACCCCTGCCGCCTCCAGCTGTGGGTCTGGTCACTGGAGGGCCCGACCCACTGCTGAGTGACTGCATAGAGTCTGTCAGGAAGACTATTCTCAAATGCTAGGGCACCATCTACTCGTAGGCAGTACGAAAACAGGTGGAAACTGTTTTTTTTATTTTACTGGTGCCAAGGGGGAAATGAGGACCCAGTATATTGCTCGGTGCCTACGACCTTTGAGTTCCTGCAGTCCCTCCTGGACGACGGCCGGTGTCCCGCTACCGTCAGGGTGTATGTGGCTGCTATATCAGCTCAACACGCAAGGGCTGACAACAGCACAGTGGGAGCCATAGGTTGGTATCCCTCTTTTTAAGGGAGAGCTCTGAGGCTTCGCCCCCCGAATATCCCAAGGGCCCCTACATGGGACCTGCCCTTGGTGCTGGATGCCCTATGCTCGCCTCCTGTTGAACCTTTGCTACAGGCAGAACTGAAGTGGCTCTCAGCTAAGACTGCTTTCCTTCTTGCCATTACCTCAGCAAAGCGTGTAAGCGAGCTTCAGGCCTTGTCCGTGAACAGCTCGTGTCTGAGGTGGAACACAGATGGCTCAGGTGTCACCTTATGGCTGAACACAGCGTTCCTCCCTAAGGTGAAAGGACATATATGCTGCGGCCACATGGGCATCCCCGAGCACATTCGCCAGATACTACAGGGTGAATGTTGCCGCCCCTCACCCGCTGGGTGTGATCCTCCTGCAGAGTCAGCCTAGGCCATCCTTATAGGGGGAGTATTCAGACTTCCTCGTGACTCTGTTGGTATAGGTCATCCAGTGCTAAAGCACCGCCTCTGGCGGTCAGTAAGGATGAAATAGAATGATAGTTATGTATGTAACTACGGTTATATGAATACTGGATGACCGCCAGAGTTTCTTGGTCACTCGGAATCTCGTGTTTCCGCGAGAACATTCCATAGAACTGAACTCGTTGACAACACCGGAACTTATGCCTTCCGGGGTCATACGAGGTCACACGTGACTTTGTTGATATAGATATTCGACCTACGCATGCGCGAGACAGAAGATATCCAGTGCTAAAGCACCGCCTCTGGCGGTCATCCAGTATTCATAGAACCGTATTTACATACGTAACTATTGTTTTATTGAATGTAAAGTCAACATAACATGAATATTTGAATGAAAATGCGCTTATGCTAATAAAGAAAGTGCTTAATCCACGTAATCAACCAGGGCCACACATCCCTGTATTATTTGTAAGGGCGTCTACAGCTTAGTGAGACATTAAAACCGTATTTATTTAAGATGGAAGAGTCCCTACAGAGTGAGCCACTGCCGCCTCATAGATTACAGACTCACCTCCAGGCATATTGAGGCCATCACACCCTCATTTGTAAATAATATGTTATTGCACTGAAACAGTCTATTTGAATATGTGCAGAGTGTCACCAGACATGCTTCAGCTGCTTCGGCTCGGATGCCAACCAGTGCACCCAGTGCGAGAAAGGCCTCGTGCTGGATCCAAACACACTGTTGTGTGGCGTGACGGGCGACACAGACTGCCCACCGAGGACCTATCTCCACGACGACCAGTTCACCTGCATGGGTTGCCACCGGCACTGTTACTCGTGTGAGGGGCCGAGCAACGATGAATGCCAGACCTGTGCCGTCCCCAAATACCTTCATAGTGAGCATGGTCTAGTCATATTAAACTGCAAAACTGAAGTGGTAAAGGGTGTAAAATAAATGTGCTTTTGTTATGCCACAGAGAAAATAAACACATACAGTATCTCCAGAGTGTCATCAGGGACTCTATAAAAGTATTATTTAGGAACTTGATGAAGCCTTGTTTAGTCATTGTAAACAAGTCTGATGTACATTTTTAACTCTAGTTGCAACCGCATGAGAAAATATTTCACTATTTTGGTCACGCCTAAACAGCTGCATGTCGTTGATCAGCAGTTAACAACATCAACCTCTGAATCATGGCAATATACATGTATGACTTAATATACCTGTGTTGCTTCTGTGTACAATTGCATTTGAAGAAATTGTAGCATTTTACCTTTTATTTTTTGGAGCCTTAAATTAGTTTTTTTGTTTTAATATTAATAGCAATTATTGTTGTGTAAGCAATTGTAGTTCTGTCAATTTTTCTTTTTTTACAAAAATAGATATATTTTTTTTAACATTTTTCAACCGATTCAGAATCTTGTATTGAGAATGTTTTCTCCCCTCATCTCTATAGGTGCCAAAAAATGTTGACTTATGAATTATGAATGGAACCTTTTCTCTGTGCACTTATTTTCCAGACAGCAGCTGTGTGAGTGAGTGTACAGACGGTACATACGCCACAGAGCAGGATGCTGATGGAACGGAGCTGGGTCTCTGTTTGCTTTGTGATCACGCCTGTTCCTCCTGCACTGGAGCTTCGCCCAAAGATTGCCTGACATGCTCTGTGGGACACCTGCGCCTACTCCACCTCTGTGTCACTAATTGTCCCACAGGGTAAACAGCTGGCTGATTAATCATGAAAATGTTTACTTTGGTATTAAACTGCAACCCTTTTAACAAAGTCTATTGACTTTTGTAATGCTCCCAATATTGTCTTATCCAGGAAGCATAACGAAATATCATATTTGTTTAGGAAATAATCTGAGTTATTAACATATGTTCAACATCTTTCTAAAATCTTATAGCAGTAGTACAACTATCATAAAACTATGAAGATTTCTTAATTGTCTTAAGTTAATATTGATCATTTCACGCATTTCCTCAGGTATTACAGAGAGGGCTCTCAGTGTGAGAGATGTGACCGATCCTGTGAGCTGTGTACGGGAGCGGGGCCTGAGTCTTGCAGGGCCTGTGCCCCTCCTCTTCTGGAGCTGCAGGGCACCAAGCTGTGTGTGGAGCACTGTCCCCATCGTTTCTATCAGCTCAATGACATGTGCAAACAGTGCCACACCAGTTGTCAGACATGCACAGGTATAGTTCTTAAAACCATTACACAGTTATTTCTGTGGTCGATTTGTTATCCTGTTTATCTACGTAGATATCTGCCCGATATGTCAATTTTTCACTTTTGTTTTCATGCAAGTTCTCACATCATAAGTATGTGTTTCCAGATGCCTCGCCTCAGGGATGTTTGACGTGCGACTGGGGCAGCACTTTAAAGGACAAAGTCTGCTATCCGCGTTGTGAAGAGGGGCGATACTTTTCAGAAAAGGTGTGCGCTTAGCTTCAAGCCATGTACCATATTACTTTAATTATTCTAATCAACATATTTGAAAGCAGAGGACAATGCTCCCCTATTTAATATTGTTGGATTTTCAAAAGAAAAGTTGTCACATTAATTCCTCACTCAATCATTGCACTACTAAACAGTGGGTGTACTGGGATCGTTGTATACATAAATGAGGATCTGCTGATGTCCTTTGTATGCATTTCAAATGGTAAAGTAACTAAATAATCAAGGTCATGACAACATATTCTTACTATAGGTCTGTGAATTGCCAGTTATCATAGTTGTGGTTATTTCGAATAAATCTATGTTTTTGTCTGGGCTTTTTGAACTGGTTTGATTTAAGCTGGAAAAGTGTAATGTCACATACCAATCATGATGTTTTGAAATGTTACCGTTGTAGGAAACGTGTGAGCCATGTGACAGCTCGTGCAGGCATTGTACCGGCCTCAGACCTGACCAGTGTTTGACTTGTCACCGGGGTTTTGCTCTTCATGCTGTGGAGAGGCGCTGCACCCGCTGCTGTCAGGCTGGAGTCAACGACACTGATTGCTGTGTTTGTGATGGCCGCTCAGGTAGAGACCCTGTCTTTCAGAAGCAACATAGGACTGTTTAGGTGCAACCAATTATGTGCAAACTATGTGCAATATGAGCAATATATATATATATATATGCAAGATGCCGTTAAAAACTGTGCAATATATACCTGGCTGCTAAATCCTCAGAACTGTTACAGGGTGTGTATTTTTGTAAAACGTGTAACTTTTTTATTATAATTTTTATTTTTTTATCTTTAGTACTTTTACAATGTAAATGTCCCCTCTGTGGGACTAATAAAGGTATTCTGATTCATCTCTTAAAGGCAGTTTTTTTGTTTTAGGTCTGTGTGTGGAGGCACCGCAACCCAAGTCAGGGGACGATCAGGTAACAGACCTGAATGTATCGTCTGCAGCTCTGAAGCACACCTCAGCTGGCGTACCCATCGCTCTCCTGCTGGCTCTTGGGTTGGCTCTGGCTGTGTTCGCCTTGGTCAAAGCCCATGCCAGGAAGAAGCTCTGCTGGGGCCAGAGCTACGAGAGACTGAACGGCAGCGCCAACATGCCTCACGGGGTCCCTGAGCCGGACAGCGGGGACGAGGTGGATGTGGTGTACACCAGCAGAGGCGGATCGGTGTATCGACGATACAGCTTCATCCATGAGCAGGACGCAGATGCACCCCATCATGTGGATGAGAGCACTTGTCTAAATCAAATGTAGATACTTTGAAAACAGAGATGAAGATATCTGAGGAATGTATTGTGGATAATCACAAAATTATGACTGACGGGAAAAATGTAAATTGTGCAGTAATGTTAAGGAGAGTAGTGGTATTTTTCTTTGGGATTGTTCTTTTTTGAGTGCTGTTGAGTGTTATTCTGCTCTACAAAGTGCCTATACCTGTAATACACATTCTTAGAAGGGGCATTTGTGAGTAAACAGTAAAAAAAACACATGTGTTTGTATGACTTTCTTTTTGTTACTTATAGATATATTCGTTCAACAGTGAAATGATTGTGTATAATAATTGAAATGACCATGATCTCTGTAAATAGACATTTAAATGAAATAAAAATATTTTCTACTTGATGTCCTTAGTGCAAACATTGTGATGGCTGTGTGCTGATATTATCGTATCATAAAATAATATAGACGCTCCAATATTATGTATAATACTTGTTCAAACAAGTCCGTCTGTTCACAGGAAAGTCCATATCCTATTAATGGTTACCATATAGTTTGCTCAACAAATGCCTAACACACCTTAGTTTGACACCTACTGAGAGGGCTGATTCAGTTTTTCATTAGATATACCTGTCAAACTTTAGCTTGCAGTGAAACAAAGATCACCGATGCTGAAGTGACTACAGCCAAGGAATGGCAAGGTTTTTCATTCACCTGACTTTGAGGACCCTCTCTCTCATCCTCATAGGTACTTTGCTTTCATTTTTCCTTTGGAAAACTGACTCCAACAAGCAGTCGTTGCCTGACTCCAACAAGCAGTCGTTGCCTGATCTCAGAATACCACACCAGTTTTTTACTGACCTGCCTGGCTGCTCAGCTATTATCAGTGGAGACATTACCGGCAAGAAAAAACAATTAGAAGTGCTTTTGGGATCCAGGAAAAGACATAAAGTACTAACTGAGGACTTCTACCTTAACGTGACAAAGGACTGTCCAGCTTACCTTAAGAGAGGTTTCATTACATCACCCCTCAGTGAAGAAGAAAAGGATTTTCCCATTGCCTACTCAATGGTTATTCATGAAAAGATAGAGATGTTTGAGCGTCTTCTAAGAGCTATTTACACTCCTCAGAATATCTACTGTGTGCATGTGGATCAGAAATCCTCTGAAGATTTTCTGAAGGGAGTGAAGGCAATTGTTTCCTGCCTTCCTAATGTGTTTCTAGCCAGTAGGTTAGAACGTGTGGTTTATGCCTCATGGTCCCGAGTGCAGGCGGATTTGAACTGCATGAAAGATCTGCTGAACTCACACGTCCAGTGGAGGTACATGCTAAACACCTGCGGGAGCGACTTTCCCATCAAAACCAACAGGGAAATGGTTCAGGTCCTAAAAGCCTTAAACGGGAGAAACAGCATGGAGACAGAGGCCACCAATAACTACAAGAAAGCTCGCTGGCAGTATCATCACAATGTTAGTGGCACTGTCGTAAGGACTGATGTGAAGAAAAGTCCCCCACCTATTAGCAGTCCTATGTTCATGGGAAATGCCTACTTTGTGGTCACGAGAGCCTTTGTGAAGCATTTGATGCAGGACAGAGAGGCTCAGAAGTTATTGGAGTGGGAGAGGGACACTTACAGCCCCGATGAGAACCTGTGGGCGACCCTGCAGAGGATGCCCTCCGTTCCAGGATCAATCCCTGCCAACACCAAGTATGATGAGTCAGACATGCAAGCCATCGCTCGCGTGGTGAAGTGGGGCTATCATGCAGGCAGTATAAAAGATGGAGCCCCGTACGATCATTGCACCGGTGCTTACAGAAGATCAGTGTGTGTGTACGGCGCTGGAGACCTCGCCTGGCTCCTTCAACAACATCACCTCTTTGCAAATAAGTTTGATCCTGAGGTTGATGACATCGCCATTAGGTGTCTGGAGTCAGTTCTGCGGTTTAAGATGTTAGGACATGACATGGTAACAGATCACTTCTAACAATTTGTAAGGCTTAATCAGCTAAAATATATAATATTTTAACAGTTTATATTTAATACAGATCATTACATTATACGTTTATATTGCCATTATTTAACTGAAATCTCTTGATTAATTCTCTATTAATTTTCTTCAAGATACTATCTGTCTTGTCATGTTTTTTATGAATGTGGCTGTTATTGTCAGTAGGCTATATTGAAATGATGATAAACTCCAACTTCAATGAAATCGATATTTGTGGTGCCATCTAGTGGAGTCTAAGTGGATGAGATAAAGAAGGTAAAAACAGTATACAGTAGTATCTAAAGCAAACCAATTGAATTGATTGAAGTAATGTGAATATAATTTGTTTTCAAACATATTTTGGTGATTTTTTTTATCTCAAATGCTGTCATTTACCTACCTATCTTGTATGAAATAAAAAACAATGATGAAATCCATGACTTTACTTGGAGGAAATGTTACATTAAGACCTACATCTTTGCTTCAGATCATTGCTCTCACAAATGTTCTCCCTACACAACTCAAAGGGCACATTCTGAGTGAAGGGAAAAAAATAAAACTTTATTTTCCCCCAGGCAGGATTTTGATAGAGAACGTCAGCAGTGAAAAGTGAAAAAGGTGCTGTCAACACGTGTTCAATGAAATGCCACTCAACGGGTCAGAGACCTAAAATGCAGTTTAAAATCAGAGCAACCATAAAAATATATTAATTTCTCTCCTTTGTCACCTTTTGAATATAAATATATATTTAAATGTAATAAAGCAGAACATGCATCAATCATTTGTAACAGAGTGCCTTACATAACGTGTAGATACACCAGTAACTAGGGGACACCAATAAGCTAAGTTGGACATGATATATTGGCAGTAAATAAAAATAAGATTAAAAACATTTCAGACAGCAAGTGGAAGAACGCTGAAGATAAAGCTGTGAAAAGTCCCACGATGTAACAGGCAGCACAGTTTCAAAAAGGCACTTCATGATGCAAACAAGTCTTCAGTCACGTTGCCCAGAACATAAACATACGAGTGCTGTTTGAAACATTCTCCGTCGTTTTCCTCCTCCACATCGTGCGGGCTAGCAGGGTCACTCTGGAACAGCAGCCGCTGCGATCTCCACTTTGCCGTGCGCATCCTGGTCGATTCTGCAGGGAAATTCAACAGTGATCAGACACCTGTGCTACTGGGATGACAGGTCATATAACAACACATTACATTACATTACAAGATAACCGATATGTAAAATAAAACAGGCTGCCCTGCAACAGAAACGTTTTTATATTATGACATACTGAAATGTGATCATTGCCTCTACACCATTACCAAAGGGACTTTTTAGTATGAGAGCATATTTCATGTTTCACTTAAAGGTTTAACTTACTAGACTTACCATCTGCATACAGATACAGTAAATGCCTTACACCCTTACTTTGATAAGCCACAACATAACTGCAATTCAATAACCCCCTTGTCTGTGCTTATCAGTAGGCTATAGAGTAAAAAGTCTGTGTGCATGAGGGTAAGGTTTGCGGTATTCATAACATCAGCAAGGAGTGGGTATGCAGTGAGTCATGCAGAGAGCTGTGAGAGTGGACAAGCCCAGTGTTCAGTGAGAGAGTTATCGAGTGCATCCGTGTGAGGATATGGTTACAGTGCAAACCACAACACCACAGTAACAAAGACTTCCCTGTAGGTCCACCCCACTAGTCGTACAAATATGAACAAACTTACCCAAGATCAAATTCTAAACCTGGTTTTTAAAAAGACACATGCAAAGTAAGATCTACTTGAGGCCCCAACTTTAATATCAGAAAGCAGCAATGCAGTTATTTAGATAGAAAAGTATGTGCTGGACATAAATCAATGATTCAGTGTCTGTACCTTGTACCAGTACCTTTGTTATGCAATAGGCTACTAAGGGTACATGATGTTTTAACAACTGATCGCTGATATTAAATTGAGGCAAGAATAGAGAACATATAAACAAGAATGGATTTTGAAATGTACTTTACAGGATTGGCTCAGAAATTAGATTAAGTTGGTTAAATAATGACCAAGCCACCTATTTCTGGAAACCAATCAAGCTTCTCAGTTTGCTATTGAGTGAACGTCCTTAATCCACTGAGGGGAAAATGTGGGACATTTAGAGAGGACAGCAAATCATCCAACTACAAACATTCAGGACAGAACGAAGTGTATTGTTGCATTTTTGAAAGCCAACGGATCATTTTGTTGTTAGTTTGTGAATTGCAAAACAACAAAGTGCTGAGACTGACCCTGGTTGTAAGTGTATATACCTTTTACGGCTTTTCCTATTTTTTTCTTCGTCAAACCTTAAGAGGGGGCAGGGAAATGGAGTTAAGGAAAAAAGAATAACAGCCAACAGCAACCAGACATCCAAAAAGAGCAAACACATTTGGTAAAGAGATGAATTTGCATTGAAGCTTTACAAAAGCCACATGGAAACTAGGCCGCATCAGGTAAAGTAGAAAATACAGCATGAGCTCAATAATGATGCAGAACAGCGAAGGTCAACCCGAGGAAAATACTAATTCCTTGATAGCTGTTTATGGGACAAAACAAAGCTACATTTTCTAGTAATGTTGATACTTGTTGAAGGTTAAATAAACTCATGAGTGTTTAAATCTTAGTAGCTTGCATTTGGATCTCTTCTAGTGAGTCAGCCTTAAAACCCCCGACATCTTGTCTTTACTGGCCATACAGGAAAAGCTAAATGTTACTGTGGCACCACCTACAGATGAAATCCAACCACAGTCTGCAGAATCAGCCAGATAATAGGGGGAAAAAGCAAGGGACATGACGTTTTCTTACATTTTTACCTACACAGATTACATCTGTAAAAAGGTAAATACATGTCAGATTACTTCTACTGGAGGAGTCAGGTTTTTTCAATTATTATATTTCAAGTATTGATTCATTGCACAGCTGTAAGATCTGCAGTCACCAGGTTCACTTCATGGAAAACAAAATGTCTTCCCTCAACAGAGAACCACCCTATGTAAACATAACAACGCTCGTGTATCATAACAAACATGTTGCCATATCCCAGAAGGTCTGATTTGGCTTGAAAAGTGCATGTGTTTGAGTGGACTGTATTTACTCTTTGATACAATCTGGTATGGACACATACTCCATTGGAACCAGTTCTGCAAGGTCTGTCAAGCTGAACACATACTGGAGTTTCTGACTAAATTTGGTGCTGTCAAAAAAGAAAAAGGGGAAATATCAAAATCTAAAAGGTTACCAGAGTGAATCTTAATTTCATCATTTTAGTGACTTTAAACATTATAAATTACCTTATGAAAGGTTTTGTGAGTGCCAGCAGCGTGCGAATAAACCAGGAGGGATGAACGATTATCAAAGACTTCAAGTTCTTCCTTAGCCTGTACAGAAAGGGAGGGAAATAGACAACATGTAATCACATATTAGACACAACTGTCTGAGGATTGGCCTGATGCTCTGCTTATTTCTGAGTGTGACGTTCACTCCGACTGATCTCCTGTCAATCTGCTGATAACACTTTCTGAGCCAGCCGACAGTTGGCATCTTTTTCCTTGAGGTGGCCCCGTTCAAATACACAATCATATAGTTCTCAGCAACCAAAAGTTCAAGTGTGCCGATGACATACCTGCAGGAAACAGGGAAATAGCATTAGCGCTGGATCCAAATGGTTTGCTCACAAGGCTAGAAGAAATCAAATTGTCACGGTTTGTGCAGGAAGCAGGACCCAAATGCAGATTAAAGTGACAAAAACTAGCTCCTTTATTTCAAGGCTCAACTATAACAAATACAGAACAGAACACTCACCGCAGACCAAGTCAAAACACAAGACGAACCGACAAAGCATCACTAAGCCACCAGGGTGGGTGGAGGGGGTCTGGAGGACGGGCTTGGGCTGACAGCCCAGGGGCACGGCAGAGGACAAGGAAGGGGTCTCGGGCGGACGGCCCGGGGGCAAGGCAGAGGACCAGGAAGGGGTCTCGGGCGGACGGCCCGGGGGCAAGGCAGAGTCCAAAATGGGGGTTATGGAGGGGCGAAGGCCACCGCGGGCGAACTCAGGGGGCCGAGCATGAGGGCGAGGACTGCGGCCGGAAAAGTCAGGGGGCCGAGCATGAGGGCGAGGACCGCGGCCGGAAGAGTCAGGGGGCCGGGCCCGAGGGCGAGGACCGCGGCTCTCAGGGGGCCGGGCTCGAGGGCGAAGACCAGACAGCTCCGGAGGCCGGGCAGGAAGGCGCTGACGGGACAGTGCCGGAGACCGGGCAGGGCCCGGTGTCGGAGCTGGTGGGACAGGCCTCGGCAGGATCCCCCACGGAAGAGGACCAGGACACGGGATTTGCAGGACCCCCGGCAGGAGAGCAGTCGGCGGGGCCTCCAACGGCACAGGACAAAGGGTTGGCAGGACCCCCGGCAGGAGAGTAGTCGGCGGGGCCTCCAACGGCACAGGACAAAGGGTTGGCAGGACCCCCGGTAGGAGAGTAGACGGCGGGACCTCCAACGGGACAGGACAAGGGGTTGGCAGGACCCCCGGCAGGAGAGTAGACGGCGGGACCTCCAACGGGATAGGACATAGGGTTGGCAGGACCCCTGGCAGGAGAGTAGTTGGCGGGACCTCCAACGAGACAGGACAAGGAGCTGGCAGGACCCCCGGCAGGAGAGTAGACGGCGGGACCTCCAACGGGACAGGACAAGGGGTTGGCAGGATCCCCGGCAGGAGAGTAGTCGGCGGGACCTCCAACGGGACAGGACATCGGGTTGGGATTTGAGAAGGGACTAGGGAAGGGACTAAAGGAGGGACTGGAGATGGGACTAGAGATGGGTCTAGAGAGGGACTAGAGGAGGGACTAAAGGAGGGACTAGAGGAGGGACTAGAGGAGGGAACTGGAGGAGGGACTAGAGAAGGGAACTCGAGAGGGGACTCGCGAGGGGAACTAGAGGAGGGATTAGAGAGGGGACTAAAGGAGGGACTAAAGGAGGGACTAGAGGGGGGACTAAAGGAGGGAACTCGAGAGGGAACTCGAGAGGGGACTCGAGAGGGAACTGGAGAGGAGACTCGGGTAGGAACTTGAGAGGTGACTCGGGTAGGAACTTGAGAGGGGACTTGAGTGGGGACTCGAGAGGGGACTCGAAAGGGGACTCGAAAGGGGACTCGAGAGGGAACTTGTGTCGGTCGGTACGCCGACAGGACATGGGGAGCTGGCGTCGTCTGGGGCGCCAGCAGGAGACGAGGTGCTGGAGTCGGCCGGTACGCCGACAAGACTCGGGGAGCTGGCGTCGGCTGGGGAGCCAGCAGGAGACGAGGTGCTGGAGTCGGCCGGTACGCCGACAAGACTCGGGGAGCTGGCGTCGGCTGGGGAGCCAGCAGAAGACGAGGTGCTAGAGTCGGCCGGTACGCCGACAAGACTCTGGGAGCTGGCGTCGGCTGGGGAGCCAGCCCTGTAGCCGAAACTGGAGTCGAGCCCATGGCTTCCGGGGCCGGTACTGAAGCCAGAACCATGGCTGCTGGGGCCGGAACCATGGCTGTAAGGTCCGGTTCTGGAGCCGGAAACATGGCTGTAAGGTCCGGTTCTGGAGCCGGAAACATGGCTGTAAGATTCGGTTCTGGAGCCGGAAACATGGCTGTAAGGTCCGGTTCTGAAGCCGGAAACATGACTGCTGGGCAAGGAACCGGAACACGGATCCATGGCTGTGTGGGGTGGTACTGGAGCACGGTACCATGGCTATGTGGGATGGTACTGGAGCACGGAACCATGGCTGCTGGGTCCGGCACTGGAGCCGGAACCATGGCGGTTGGGGCCTGTAATGGAGCCGGAACCATGGCTGCTGGGGCTCGGGCTGCTAGCCTGGCCTTGTGACGACTCCTCTTAGCAGCCTCCTGAATACTCCGTGGACCTCCATAAGCCTGACGAGTTCCGGAATACGACTCCTGGACAGGAGCAGGAACTGGGGCAGAAGCACTGGCTGACTCCAGACGGACCACACCGAGACGTTTGTAGTCAGCAGGCTGGAAATCACACACCCAGAGGAAGTTCAAAATCCAGCCAGGCAAGAACTTCACCAAGTCTGGTTTCTCCATAGCCAACCGGTGCGCCTCTACCAGAGCGGCCTCCCTCTGCCGAACACTGGACGCTCCACTTCAAATGGATCATCTGCTGGGTCCATTTCTGGTCGGTTCGTTCTGTCACGGTTTGTGCAGGAAGCAGTAGTGATGTTACGTATTGCGCCGAGGCTTCGGAGCGTGTGTCGAGTAATCTCCGAAGCTTTTTGTGAAGCATGTATCGAGGCTTGTATCGTTTTGGGCCAGTGACGTCATCGATGACAAACGAAGCCTCGCTGCCTGTCGATACCACGTGACTGCTTCAGAAAGCGATTCAGATCGGTTGAACCACAACGCTCATAATACCCATGGATGTATAATAAGAACCATATTACCCCTCCTGTACCCGGGCCCGGTGACACGATGGAATCAAGAGAGCTCAGACCCTCACTTATAGAGGTCGGAACATGTCATAAGTATAAATAGATACAAGCATAAATAAATGTAGGAATAAAAACATCAATAAATACAGGAATACATATCTTGCAGTGTTTTCAGGGAGCTTTAGTGTGTGCTGTGGCTCAGCTGGAAAGCAGTTGACTCATGACCGCAGGGTCCCTGGTTCAACGACTGAACAATACGTATTTTTTGTTGTTTATAAAAGCTAGAGCTAAATGAGAATGTAGTTAATAAATGTATTCTTTGATATGGTTTAGCCTTTCTCAGGCTACAACATGGTTACGTTTATGAATATTATTAAGAAATACAAATCCCTCTTTGCAATGTTTACCAGCCTCCTTAGGCTTTTCAATCACAATCATTCAACTGGAATAAATACAATATTGTTAACATGAAAATATGATGTAATGTTCGTTGTTTAGAGTTATTCTAAGGCTTTACTCAATGGGAACTCGGTATGAGATGATGGAGCACACTGTTGAGATGTCCAATCTGCCTATTTTACACACTTTGACCAACAGGGGGGGTTGTGTTCAAATGAAGCCCATGATGAAGCCTCATGAGATGAACCCTTTTGCGAACCTTAGACTACATGCACTAGGTTCTGAGACGTACTTCCGCCTTAGCCGTTATACTGCTCGGACGCTTCCGGGTTGCTTCTGGTCTGCGTAGCTGAGCGTCCACAAATGTTTTACTGTTTAAATCTGTGGTTTAAATATGAGTCGACGGAAGATTTTCAAAACGGAGCATTTGCAAAGACAAGTAAAAAACTACTCCGAGCACTGCCGTGTCCCACTTTGTACGGCGTCAGCTAAATTCAACGGCGTCCTAAGTTTCCATGGCTTTCCGACCGAACTCGAGCTGCGAAGACAGTGACTGGTTAAAATACGACGCGATAACTTTACAATCTCCTCTCACTCCAAGGTCTGCAGTCGTCACTTCGCTACGGATCAACTAATAGAGCCAAAAACCCTTGATGGCCGTAGGAGGCTTGTGAAAGGTGCTGTCCCAACTCTGTTTGAGTGGAATCACTTCACTGCTCAAACACCGCGGGCTAGTGTTTGGGAGAGAAGGGAGCGGCCCACTGAACCAGTCTCTCGGGAGGAGCAGGAAGAGCACATCGATGTCCGTGACCATGATTACTGCTCAACCCCTGAACCAGCTTCACTGGACATGTCCTCTCAAGCTACAGAAGACAACTCCAAAACAGTGGAGGATCTGCAGAAGCAACTGCAGGAGTTAAGAGTCCAGCGAGAGTTTTGCTTACAGCGGTTTGCTGGCTCCGACGACAACATCCGATTCTATACCAGGTAATGTTTTGGCTAAATTCTATCCAAGTTTTTGAGATGGGTTAGCTTATAAAGAATCCTGTTTACCTGCCGTTTGACTGCTGACTATTTGCATGCAGTGTTGGAATAAGTAGGCTACTCAACTTAACTGAAGTATAAGTACAAATACTATGGTTTGAAAATACTCCTGAACTGAACATGTAGAATCATAAATCATGTGTTTTCATAAGTAACTAGAAACTATGAAGGTTAACTAAATGTGGTGGAGTAAAACATACTAATACTAACAACATACTGATAATACTTTACTACAAGTGGAAATCTTCAAAACCTTACCAAAGTAAAAGTACATGTCAATATCCACTGCGTTTCTCCCAGTTGCACACTTAAGAATGAAGAGTAAAAGTAGTCATTCTGTGTAAAATGTTCCCTGTATGTTTTAGATTATTATTACTGCTGCTTTAATGTAGTTGTTACATGTTACTGCTGTATATTACTATACCTGCACCAAGTGCCTTCTTAATCAGTCTATTTGAATTGTAATGTATTATAGCAAACAAGAGGAAAGCATTAGCCCATGTGTTACAGTTAACGAGTCAATTAATGACTGACATGTGTCTTTTGTGTACAGATTCCCGAGCTATAACCACCTGATGGCCTTCTGGTTTTTGATTGAGCCTTCCATTTATAAAATGGTTCGTGTTACAAGAGCGATATCAGCTGCCAAGAGGAATGAAGAAGTGGTTACACACGCACATCCATCAACGGTAGGCTACGTTTCTTTTAACACACAAACTGAAGGGAAAATGTTTCTCCAACATTTCATTGCTTTCGTGTAGGCTAAAAGGCTATAGTACTCAATCCTTTTTGAATACATCAGAGAACTAAAACAACTTAATGTTTTTCCCATGGTGTGCTACACTCATGACATTAATATAGTACCCTTTTTGTTTATCTTCCAGAGACAGCTGCTTCAGCCAATTGACAAGTTCTTCCTTTTTCTCTGCTTCCTGTCGGTGGGTTTGAAAGAGAGGGACCTTGCAAACCGCTTCAACGTACACCAGTCCACTGTGAGCCGCATCATTGCAACATGGACGAGTTTTCTTACAACTTTATTGGGGTCACAGTGCATCTGGCTTACACCTGCAGAAGTTCAAGCCCACCTCCCAGAGGCATTCAAAGATTTCCCAGACACACAGGTGATCCTGGATTGCACAGAGCTGAGGTGTCAAACACCATCCTCACTCCTCCTCCAAAGTGAAATGTATTCTACATACAAATCTCACTGCACCATGAAAGCCCTGGTTGGCATAGCCCCACATGGCGCAGTGACATTTGTTTCCAGTCTGTATGGTGGTTCTGTCAGCGACAAGGAGATTTTCAAACAATCTGGAATAGCTGCGTTGTTGACTGAAAACATGGCAGTGATGGTAGATAAGGGCTTCCTGATCAGCGATTGCTGCAAATGCAAGGTGTACTGCCCACCTTTTCTGTCAAAGCAGAAGCAAATGCCAGCCTATCAGGTGAGGGAGACACAGGCCATTGCCAGACTGAGGGTTCATGTGGAGCATGTCATTAGGAGGATAAAAGAGAACAAACTTTTTGATGGTGTCATCCTCCTGTCCCATGCCTACAACATCAACCAACTGTTTGCAGTAGCATGTATGCTGTCAAACTATCAGAACAAAGCACTGGTCAAGAAATGGGTGAAATAAGACAAGATGATGACACCTGTGCAGGTAGCTGTGATTAAGCTGGGTGAGCACACCGTAATCCCGTGTTGCCTGACACACGCTAGTGTTTTGTTTGAATAAATGGTAAATAGCAAATTACAATGCGTTGATTTCTTACAAATGCACTGATTTACTATTCATTACACAAATCACTTAACTTTATTGTCTTTTTAAATACAATTGTATATTTATTTACATATGAAATGTGACAAACAATATATATCAAAAACAAAATATTGAAATCACATTTTGTTGTCATTCAGAACACATGATTGAGGGATTGCCTCCTAAAAACAATGACGGCTGAGCCAGGGTCTAGCAGCTAACTGCTTACAGAGTTAACAATGGCTACAGTGCCCACTACTTTTTTTAATGACAGGTACTTCGGCATGTATGTGTAAAAAAAAAAAAAAAAGTCTACTTTTTCTCTGATTGCTCTTTGCACTTCTGGATCTGTGTATATTCTTTGCACCAGGTAGTCCTCTTGTGCCCACACTACAAAATCACACCACTGCATCCCAGATACAAGAAGTTGACCCTGTACTTGCCAGTAATAGGCATGGCTTTTCTTGAGCTTAGGGGAGCCACATTCTATCTGCACATATTTGCAGTCGACATAATTTGGGACATTTGAATTCAACAAGGCCAAATTGGGGATATTCTGTTGGGTCAAAAACAACTCCATCATGGGAGGCACCAAGCCAGGGCGTAGAGGGGTGAATGACAAGGCCACAAGGGAAGTAGTTCACGTTTGCCAGTCTACTGTATTCAGCTGCTACTGTGGGCTCCATCTCGGCACCTCTCCTCATTTCTGCAGTCTGCCTTGTACCTTTGAGTATTCGCTCTGCAAGAGAGTTAGCAGAGCTCTCACCTCTGACGTGACAAATCTCTCTAAACCTAGAGGCAGTAACCCTGGGTTTGCGGAGCAGATGCCACTCTGAGCTAGAGCTCACGGGTAGCCTCCTCAATTTTGTGAGACATTTCCAAATCAACAGATAAGCTGTTCATATGTAGTTGCTCCTCTTCTGAGCACACCAGCGGTAAATCACATGGCAAGATCACATACCCCTCTATGGGCAAGTGGGGTGTTGGTGGTGTGTCAGTGTGAAGTGTGGTGTACCGAGACGTCAAAGCAGGCATCTGATAGGACAGAACACTGCCCTCCTGCACAATCCCGAAGGCACTTTCCACAAGGGGCTTGTCAGGTCTCATGTTCATTGTGGTCACAAGCGGCCTGTCTTCAATGCTGAATGCTGAGTATGCCTCCGTAACTCTGAACAGGCAGGGATCTGGTAATGGCCCCACCATGCCTCTGTAGAATCCACTCCTACAAAGAATGGCAAAGACAATATAGCACATTAATGTGACAATAAAGGTTAGGAATACAGCACCAGAATTATGAATTTTAAAAATACAGGAAACACAATTTTCCAGCTAAAAGTCTGCACCATCCTATTTGGTACAGGCTTGGTGAAGACCATGGAGTTGATGGGCCCTGGCTTCACACCCTTAAGGAAAAGACAATTACTGTTCGATGAGTTACTTTAAAACAAAAACTCTGTGAAAGATTACAAGTATTTGAACCTCATTGAAATTACCATTGTTCGCGGCTTGTGCCATTGCTGTTCCGATTCAGTACAGCTATGCACAGGTGGCACAACTGGCATGTTCAGTTCAGTGTAGTGTGCTGTTTGGAACAGCAATGCTACTGTGTGATTGCACAAAACAGTTCCTGCAACACAGGAGATGAATCACGAAGCGTTATCTAAAAAAGAGAGAAGAAATACTAGTGATTAGTAACCTCACTTGTTACTATGAGCCAGGAGGTTATTATGAGTAGAATTATTGGTTATTTTTACTGACTCATTATCCTAGAAGAAGCATGTATTCCTGAATGCTTAGTGTTACCCTACAATACCACAATGAACTTTCTTTGGAAACTAAGATGCCTTGAAAATTGTATTAACTATAACTATAGGTTACTTACATAACCCCAGTTCTCAGAGTAACATGAAGTGAGATGTCTCACTATGGGATGCGCCTCATCGCGGAGCAAACAGAAGCATCAATCTCATTACGCCAATCCTGATTGGCTGGTGATCTTGACGTCAGCGTCAGGGAATCACCTGGAAGGAGTAATAAGTAGCTTGCGCCACGACGCATGCATCATTCAAAATAAGCACCTCTTCTCGCTTCACCATAGCAAGGAGGGCCGTCTCACTTCATGTTACTCTGAGAACTGGGGTTACGTAAGTAACCTATAGTTCTCATTCATAACACTCCGTTCGATGTCTCACTATGGGAAATTGTAGCTCCCGTATTGCCAGACGAGCTTATCTCGAAAATCACCAACCAAACAGAACCTTAACAGGTAGAGTCCCGACTCAACAAGGTGCCCAGCACTGCTCGGGCCACGCTTGGAGCGGAGACGTCTAGCCTGTAAAAGCGGACAAAAGTGAGCGGCGAGGACCAGCTCGCCGCTGCACAGATGTCTTGGATGGAAACACCCTTGAACAAAGCCCAGGATGTAGCCAGGCCCCGAGTCGAGTGAGCCCGCAGACCCGAAGGTGCTTGCAAACTCTGACTCGTATAGGCCAAAGCAATTGCTTCCACAATCCAGTGGGAGAGCCGTTGCTTAGTAACAGGCTTGCCCTTGTGAGGGTTAGCCCAGGACACAAAGAGTTGGTCATTAAGACGAAGCTCCTTTGATCTGTCCATATATGTGCGTAAAGCACGGACTGGACACAACAGATCCTGCTGCTGTTCCCCGGAGGAAACCAGCGGCGGAGGAAATGCCTCAATGTCAATTGGGGTACACGAACCAACCACCTTTGGTGTAAAGGCAGGGTTGGGCTTCAACAACACTCTCGTTTGCCCTGGGGCGAACTGAGTGCATGAAGGATGTACAGACAGCGCATGAATATCACTGACCCGTTTGGCGGATGCCAGGGCCAGTAACAGCACTGTCTTGAGTGACAGATGTTTCATGTCAGCTCCTTCCAGGGGTTCAAATGGGGTCATTCTGAGCCCATTTAAAACCACTGCCAAGTCCCATAAGGGCACCAGTGACCTGGAGACAGGGAGGAGCCTGCGAGCTCCCTTCATAAAACAGCAGACCAAAGGATGTTGGCTAGCCGTCTTACCCTCAAAGCCCACATGGCATGCAGCAATAGCAGCCAGGTACACCTTGATCGTGGAGAAAGCTCTGTGTTTATCGATCAAGTCCTGTAGAAATGATAAAATCACCCCGACAGGACATTGAAAGGAGATGTGTCCTTCTTGAAGGCACCACTCCTCAAACACCCTCCACTTACAGTCATAAAGAGACCTGGTGGAGGAAGCTCTCGCACTCTGAATAGTGTTTATCACCTTCTGAGGGAGTCCCACTGTATTCAGATTGTACCACTCACGGGTCAGGCCCATAGTGCCCCGCGCTCTGGGCGTGGATGAAGGATCGCCCCCCCCGCCTGAGACAATCTGTCCCTGCGTAGAGGGGGCTGCCATGGCTGCCCGCACAACAGCCGATATATCTCCGCCAGCCCGTACGTTGCGGGCTAAGGCGGAGCCATCAGGATAAGTGTGTGGCGTTGCTCCTTCACTCTGGCCAGAGTTGGGGGTATCAGAGCCAGGGGTGGGAACGCGTACAGAAGACCCGGAGGTCAATCGTGTACGAGTGCGTCCACGCCTAACGGTGCGTTTAAATCGTGCATTAAAGAGAACAGCTGTCATTGAGCATTTTCTCTTTATGCGAACAGATTTAACGCGGCTCTGCCGTAACGCACCCACAGCGGACTCACGATCCTTGGATGTGGAGTCCAGTCTGCATAGAGTGGTGCACCTCTGGACAGTAGTTCTGTCCCGAGGTTCATCACTCCTGGTACATGCGTCACTCTCAGAGAGAGGAGACGTCTGCCGCTCCAAGGGATAAGTTTGTGTGCCAGTGTGTGACTGGAGACAACGCAACCTCCCTTGGCGGTTCATACACGATACTGTGGTCGTGTTGTCGGTCCTCACGAGGACATGGTGTCCTCTGAGAGAAGGCAGAGAGCGTTTTAGGGTGGGGAACACCGCTAAAAGCGCAGGGTGATTTACGTGCGCCCGCTGGAGGTCTCTGCTCCAGAGACCCCTCACCGGGCGACCTTCGTAAATACCCTATCAGCCTGTCAGACATGCGTCCGTGGTGGCCACCTTCCGTGAAAGGACGGCACCCGTAGGCGCGCCCCGTACTAGAAAAGTCGGGTGCGGCCAGTGGCGTAGTGCCACTACGCATTTCATAATAACCAATACTCTCCGCACGCCGTGGCGCGCAGGGTTTGGTTTTATTATGAGACCCATGTTGAGCAGGTGCTTTACGAGGACATTTGTCTGCGTAATCTGACTCTGCTCGGCGGGCATTATAGATAAAACCCTCCTTTCTAGGAGAGAGAGAATCTCTCTCTCCAGAATATGGTTGACTCCCCCCGGGCTTGTGAATACAGATAGCCCGAGAGGCGAGGGGGGGTGACGGTGACTTGGAGTCTGTAGCTCCGTGTAACCGTCTTGAGAAACCCAAGCAGATGTCGTGAGCATCTCCCGCTGTATGCTCCTTAGAGCCAGCTGAGATGTCACGTCTCTTCCCCTCTGAGTCTCTATTTGTTGTGTTATGGGGCCCTCCAGTGTCTGAGCACTGTGGTGCCCCATTTCGACAATCCCCACCGACACAGCGCATGCGTGTGGCGGTGGTGTCTTCACGACCCCAGTCGGCACTGCGCATGCGCGTGACGGTGGTGCCTTTACAGCCCCAGCCGGCACTGCGCGTGACGGTGGTGCCTTTACAGCCCCAGCCGGCACTGCGCATGCGCGTGACGGTGGTGCCTTCACAGACCCGTCAATTGCCCGCCCTTTGAGAGAGGCCGTAGCTGCTCTCAGAAGGGGAACAGTTGACGGACTGTTTATTGTTTTTCTTTTCATTTTTCCGAGCTGCGCCCTTGGCTCGAAGCATGGATGCGTCAGCGGAAAATGATTTGTGACAGAAAAATCAATAAGTGTGTGACATGTGTTTATGCGGACTTGAAGATGGTGTTGAGGCATCTCTCGAGGCGGCGGGAACACATTTAGAGCTGGGGAACCGTAGACTTCCAGCTCTGTCACAGAGGGGAGAAGGAGGGGCTGTCGCGCCGCTCGCTTCTTCTTCCTCGACTGCTGGCCGAAATTCTGGGTTGGCCGCGCCTGGGCTGCAGCCGGAACCGGAGATTTTCTAGGCCAGCTCGCCCTCGTCCCCTGCCTGGGCTGGGGACTCGGGGCGGACTGCGACCTCTGCGCTTTCGGTATTTTTAGCCGAGCAGGGTTCGCAGTTTGGACGAAGGGCTGCCGCTGCGAAGGCAGCGGCTGGGCCCTTCGAGGGAGGCAGAGGTGGAGGGCCTCGTCCTCCTTCTTTTTCGACTTGCAGCTGCTTTGCATGGAGGCAAGAGCGGAGCCGAAAATCCCCTCGGGAACGATGGGCATGTCAAGCACATCCTCCTTTTCCCGGTCTGGGAGATTGGTGAGGTTGAGCCATCTAGCTCTTTCCTGCACCACCATGATCCCCATTGTTTTGCCCGTGGCCTGGACGGCGCAGCGTTGGACACGGAGACAAATGTCTGTGACCGCGGCCAACTCGTCCAGAACGGCCGGTCCAGGATTACTCGACATATCCTCACAGAGCTCCGCTTGGTATGCGGTTAGCAGTGAGGAAACGTTCAGAGCCCTGGCGGACAACGCTGCGGCTCTGTAGGACCGTTCCGTCATGGTTGACTGGAAACGGTCCACCTTCGCTGGCAGCGTTGGGTTCCTGCTTGGTGACGGGCCCATCCTCAGTAGGAGGTGGGTTGCCACCAGCAGTTCCATCGGCGGTATGCGGAGCAGGCCGAGCCTCTCCATACCGTCGCAGTCTAGGGAGGAGGCACCCTGGATTGGGGCCTTGTTGGTAAAGGGTCGGTCCCTCCACGAGACCGACACCTCATCCAACATCTCCGGGAAGACCGGGAGGAGTTGCCTCCTTGTCCTCGTTGCTTGGGGAGAATGTTTCCCCTCGTAACGGGACCTGGCGGTCTCCTTGGCCCTTTCGGGCCACGGGATGTCTAGCCTGGACGCAGCGCGCTGACACACGGCCTGCAGGTCCCTGCTCAGACAGGGCGAAGCTGGTGTGCTATCGCCCGGGAGAGCAGCCATCGCTCCCGGCTTTGCCGTTTGAGCCGATGACATGAAGATATATTCTTCTTGCTCATCCGAATCAGACAGGAGGGACTCAGAGGTGTCCTCTTTGTCCCCCATGTAGTCTAATTCCAGGACATTCCCCGCGGGTGAGACCATGGTGAGGTCTCGCCGGGAGCTCCCGCCTGGTGAGGCTTGGGGCTCCGTTCCGCCACCGGGTCCTGGCCTGACACGGCGTGGGATCCCGGTTCCGCAGCTGCCGCTGTTAGTGAGCCCCAGACCGACATAGTGAGGGGCTCAGTCTCTGCAGCAGACGCCCCCGTGTCTTGATTGCCAAACGGCGAAACAGTGGACATGAGGGAGTCCTGTTCCAACAAGCTAGCTTGGTGTGCTAGCCGTCGGTGGAGGCTCTTTCGGGTGAAAAGGGCGCAATGCCCGCACGAGCCGGGGTTGTCGATAGCCTCCTGGGCGTGTTTCAGCCCGAGGCAGGACGGGCAGACCTGGTGTGAGTCTGTGCCTGCTATCTTCAACCCGCAGCCGCATGACCGAGCTTTCGAGTCCCTGACT